CACAGCCCCGCGCCCTTCTCAGGGGATAGCAGACCCCCATGCATTGGTTCTCAGGGGTGCGTGGGGGCTAGCAGGACTCCCTCCTTGTTCTGCTGCACACCCGCCTGCTGATCTGGACCCTGGTTCAGAGCTGTGACAATGCCCTGCCCCAGCCCTGTTCCCGCCCTTTCTCTCCCTACTCTCCTCCACCAGTGTCCCGAGAAGATGGGCCCTGTGGTGTAGCAGCTCCTGGGGACCGAGTCCGAGTCCTCCTCCCTGGGGTTAGCTGGGGGTGGAGGTGCTGAGAGGAGAGAGGGTTCCTAATGACGTTCTCTTGAATCCCACCATCACTTCCCAGTCAACAAAACTCACCATTGTGTTCTGCACCCCAGCCCCATTTATATTCCGGAAGGGAGGCTGAGATCAGCATTGGATTCCCTCCCCCGCCAATAATCGGGGACATTTGGTATAACCCAGGACGATCATGAGATTCTCCAGATTTTAGAGGTTGAGCAAAAGTTGGAGATACTCATATTCTATTGTCTGGTGAGAAGATGCTTGAAATTTGGGCAAGTAATTGATTTTTTTCAACCTCATACTCAAAAGTGCCTCCAGGGACAGGTTGTTTGCTGCCTTGGATGGATCCTAGAGGGGCATCGGGCACTTCAATCCTTCCTCTTCTGTCACCAAACTCAGACAGGCCACTTCATCTCTTCAGAATCCAGCTTCCGGGGCTGGGGTGTAGTACAGTGGGTAAGGTGTTTGTCTTGCACTAGGCCGACCTGCGTTCAATCCCCAGCATCCCATATGGTCCCCCAAGCACCACCAGGAGTGCTGAGTGCAGAGCCAGGAGTAACCCCTGAGCATCCCTGGGTGTAACCCAACAAAGAAAAAAAAAGAATTCAGCTTTCTCACTTGGCGACATTTCTCAATGGCTTAGTGTCCAGTGCCAGAGACTTTGGTGGACCCCCCAAATGTTAAGTGGCCAGAGATCTCGGTGGAACGTCCAAATGTTAAATGACCACAAGCCTGAGCTCAGCCACCAACTGAGACACATAGGGACAGCACAGATATTTCAAAATTTTGTTCACATACCAAAACACACTCATACCAGGGACTCAGTTGTGAGGGCACTGATACAAGGGATTCATCAAGGAGGGTTCGCAAGCCTAAGAAACTCAAAATCCCAATCACCATCCGAGAGACTTTTTTTTTCATTTTGGGTCACACCCGATGATGCTCAGGGGTTACTCCTGGCTCAAGCACTCAGAAATCACTCCTGGTGATGCTCCGGGGACATATGGGATGCTGGGAATCGAACCCGGGTCGGCCGCGTGCAAAGCAAACGCCCTACCCTCTGTGCTATCACTCCAGCCACCCGGGAGAGTTTTTTAAGTCCTGTGCCTTCCTGCCTACCCTAGGCGCATGTCTGGGCGCCCCCTGCCAGCTGCGTTCTCATAGCCTGAGCTAGCAAGGGGAGGGTACAGAAGCGAAACACAGTGGCTCGCACATCTTGTTCCATTTACCTGAATCATCCTTGTTACCTGTGGTCAGATGTCAGGGCGTTTATGTTCATGCCCTTTCGATCTGGCATGTCGTTCTTACAAGATTGTAAGCTCATGACCCTAAGCACAAAGTGGAATCTAGCTTTCCAAAATGGAGTCTCGGTGGTTCTTTCAAAAGGACCTTTTTGGCTTTAAGCGGCAGGACTCAGGGGCCAGAGAGTGTACAGGAGATGGGCACTTGCCTTACATGCAGCAGACCCCAGTCCAAATTCCTGAGCACCACCAGGGGTCTCTCCTGTGCACAGAGTGGGCAATCACTCCTGAGAACACTGGAGTGTAGTTCCTCACTGTCACTGTCACTGTCCTCTCCTTGTTCATCAATTTGCTCGAGCAGGCCCATTTTGAGGCTTGTTGTTACTGTATTTGGCATATTGAATACGTCATGGGTAGCTTGCCAGGCTCTGCCATGCGGGCGAGATACTCTCGGTAGCTTGCCGGGCTCTCCAAGAGAGGTGGAGGAATTGAACCCGGCTTGGCCGGGCTGGCTGCGCGCAAGGCAAACACCCTAGTGCTGTGCTATCGCTCCAGCCCATTGTGAACATTATTCATTTTGATATGGAGAATTATCATATTCAGTCAATTCTCATATATATGTTTGTGTGTGTATGTATATGTATATATATATAAATTCATGTACACATGTGCATATATATTTGTATTTATACATTGTAGTTCCTCAAGAAACGAAAATTGTAGGACTCTATGAACATGCTTCTAGTGGTGTTAAGCACAGCTGGATTCACTAGCAAGATTATCGAAACTCCTAATAAAAGAGTACCTGTGTTTGAGCACAGACTGTGGTCTGTGGTAGGTAGGAGCTGTGTCGAACACAGAAGGTCTTTGTTAGGAATAAGGCTTCCACGCAGATGATCGTACCCACAAGAAGGTATTAGAAGCTCGGTGGAATAACAACTCGTAGGATTTCTGACTCTGGGGGCAGGACATGAGAGGTCTCTTGGGAAAGATGGTTCTCCTGGTGCTTAAAGGATGGTCTGAGGTTTCCTGCAAATGATGTAGATTGAGATGGTGTAAAACACCACCCATTGGTTCACTAGTACTGTTTGAAATGTTTGTTTGTTCCATGGAATTTTTTTTTTATTACTACAAACCTCACTCACATCATGGGCTTTTATTGGAAAAAAATGCAAGCTGTTACTTGTCTCCTCTGTCCAAGTTTCCATGATCTTCTCTCAGTAGATTCTGAAGGTACTTATAAATAGTTGTTACTGTCAGAGGCAGAACTTACTCACTGCAAATTTATAAACAGTAGCAAGGTCCAACATTATTTCTGCAGAAAATCTCAGAATTTTCCACACTGGTTGAAAAGTGAAAACTTGAGGAATTCAAATAGATTAATTGGTGAAAAGACAGAAGTGGTTTAGTGACTAATTATTTGCCAAATATTGAAATATCTAAGAGTTTTGATTTTTTTAATTTTGAATTGATTTTATTTATGTGTTCTCTTACTAGCACAGGGAAAAAGTTCTGCATTGCTTCTGCTTATTGCCACCATGTTAATTAGGGCTCATCTGCATTGATTGATAGATCTTGGGAATATCCTTTGTAATAATTCTAGTACGTTGTCAAACATGTCTTGGGATTAGCAGCTGTCAACGGTTAGATCTTGAAACAGATTCAGTTACAGGAGTGGAAGATGAACCAGATATTTAATGCCATTTTCACCTGTAGGATACAGAGAGAGAGAGAAATAGAGAAGAGAGCAGGGAGAGGAGAGGAAGGGGAGGGGAGGGGAGGGGAGGGGAGGAAGGGGAGGACAGGGGAGAGGATGGGAGGGGAAGGGAGGGGAGGGAAGAGGAGGGAAGGGAAGGGAAAATGAAAGGGAGAGGAAGGAAGGGGAGGAGTGGAGAGAAGAGGAGAGGAGAGGGAGATTATTATTTATAGGGAATGCTCTTTTATAAAATATACTCTCTAAATATGCTTTCTAAATACGTGTCTCTAAAGTGTGGGTTTATTTCTAAATGTATGAACATCTATTATTATTTTGCGGGAAGGGCTTGGGGCCACACCTGGCAGTGGTGGGTGCTTGGCTTGGTGCTTGGGACTCTCCTGACAGTGCTTGGAGTAAAATGTAGTGCTGGGGCTCCAACCTATCCTCCTGCCTGCCAAACATATACTCCAGCCTGCTGAACCATCTTCCTAGCACAATTTTTCTTTTGGGGGGTTGGAGAAGCCACATCTGAGGGTTCTCAGGTCTTCCTCCTGACTCTACTCAGGAATCACTCTTAGCAGGGCTTGGAGGAACATTTAGGGTGCTGGGGATTGAATCTGGGACATTTATGTGCAAGGAAAGCTCCCTACCCACTGTACTCTTTTCTGGCCCATTTATATTTCTTTTCAATAGCAAGCAGCTATAGGAAGTAGAAACCATCTTCCTGTAGAGTGAGGGTCAACATGCCCCATTGTGAAATAATTGGGTTCCTTGAATTTGATTATCTTTTTTGGGGGGGTGGGGTGGGGGGATGCCTCACCCAGCAATGCTCAAGGCTTATTCCTGGCTCTGTGCTCAGGGATCATTCCTGATGGTGCTCAGGGTCTATATGGTGTGCTGGGGATCAAACTTGGATCAACTGCATGCAAGGCAAGTCTCCTACCCCTATACTATATCTCTCAAGCTCTGAATTAATTGTTTTAAGAAATTTCCTTAAGGAGAGATGGCTTAGAGAGCTAGAGTTTGCGCCGGATGGATCTCTACCTGACCCCCTGAACACCTTCTGAAGTAACCTCTGAGCCCAGCTGGGTGTGGTCCAAGAGCTAAAAAGCAAAAGAAATTCCCTTAAACTCTATGTGAAAGAAGATCCCGGCTGCTGTCTGAGGACAGAACTTGTGTTTCCGGTCATGCTCCCTTCATTGGTTCCGAGAGGCTTATGCTCAACAGGGAGTCCCAGGGGGACCATTGTCACCTGAGTGTCACAGCCACAGCAGTGCCAGGTTTGCAGAGATGCAGTTATGGGGGCTGGAGCAATAGCACAGCAAGTAGGGCATTTGCCTTGCCACGGCCAACCTGGGTTCAATTCCCAGCATCCCTGAGCACTGCCAGGAGTAATTCCTGAATACAGAGCCAGGAGTAACCCCTGTGGATTGCTGGGTGTGACCCAAAAGGGAAAAAAAAGAAGAAATGCAGTTATGGGAAAGCTTTTTATAGGAACCTCCATCTACCTCTGCCTGTGTTTGGCTTTCAGACTTCTGAGTTCTCATGAACTGTCTCATGTCTTGTAAAGTCTTTATCCCTACCATCTCATTAAATCCAAATGCAGGGGGCCGGAGAGATAGTACAGCAGGTAAGGTATCTGCTGACTTGGGTATGAACCTCGTCAGGAGTGATCACTGAGCACAGAGCTAGGGCAGTAAGTAAGCTCTGAGCAGTGCTGGGGGTGGCCCAGAAACCAAGCAAGCAAGCAAACAAAAATCCAAATGCATCTGTTTTTCTCCCACCAGGAACCTGCATCAGGAGCAAAGAGAGCCCTGCCCTGTGCCGGCTGAGTTTCCAAGATGGAACCCATCACATTCACCGCGCGCAGACATGCGTTTCCCACTGACGCTTCAGTGGACTTCGGCCTCCAGCTGGTGGGCTCGCTGCCAGTGCACCCCCTCACCACCATGCCCATGCTGCCCTGGGTGGTGGCCGAGGTGCGGGGACTCAGCGTCTCCACCAAGGAGCCCGCCATCAAGCAAGTCCGCCTTACTGTTGCCCCCTCCGGGCTGAAGTGTGAACCTGAGCCCGGGAAAAGCCAGCAATGGGACCCGCTGCTCTGTTCCAGCGTCTTCGAGTGTAAGCCTCAGCATGTCCACAAGCTGATTCACAACAGTCATGACCCCAGCTACTTTGCCTGTCTGATTAAGGACGACGCGGCCGGTAGGCAGAGTATCTGCTATGTGTTCAAAGCCGACGACCAGACCAAAGTAAGTGGAACTGGGGGGAATCTGCAAGAGGAAGGGAGGGCCTGGATTGTTTTGTTGGAGAAGGGGGCTTGGGCTTCTATTTGCAGAGGACTGGAATGACTAAGAGATGAGCTGTAGTGATGCCTACATTCTCTTACTCCCTTTGGACGTGGAATAGTTGACAGTTTTGGAGAACGTTTGCTAACAGGAATTAGCCCAGTAGATAGCTCAGATAGAGACGGTTCGTTTTAGTTTGAGTTTCTCAACTAAAACAGTCCACGAGGAAATCTGTCTAAGCTTAGAACTGAGCGCTGAGTTGTTGGACTCATTTCCTAGAAGAGGTGAGCTCCGCTTCTCAAACAGAAATGCGCATCTGAGTTTTCTGGTGAGGGTGTGAAAAGGAAACAGGAGGTGTGGGATGAACCCCAAGAGCTGCAGCTGATGATACTCAGGGGGTTCAGGTGGGGATGGGGATTATACGTGGGCGACCTGGGTTCGATTCCTCCGCCCCTCTCAGAGAGCAGAGCAAACTACCAAGAGTATCCCACCCGCATGGCAGAGCCTGACAAGCTCCCCATGGTGTATTCAATATGCCAAAAACAGTAACAAGTCTCACAATGGAGATATTACTGGTGCCCGCTCGAGCAAATCAATGAACAACAGGAGAACAGTGCTACAGTGCAGTACACATGCAATGCAAGCCATGCACCCCCCTCCCCCATCTCTGGGCTACCTTCCAGCCCCCATGCCTGCATTTCTGACAGGTTCCCACTGCTCTGGGTATGGCACTTGGGCAATAAGTACTAGATGGGGGCAGCCCATCGCTGACCTGCAGTCTCACACAGGCCTGATGGTGGTGCAGTGCTCCCTATGTTGGGGTGGGCGGCATCCCACCCTAGTTTGTGGTGCTTGCACCCTTGGGGGTGGTCCTCACCAGGGGTCGAGTGGTCTGGTTCTTCTGGTCATTGGCACTTGCACATGTACTCACCCAGGTGAGCTCCTGGCCACAGAACTCACGTGTCTCCTTTAGTTGTGATGCTTCGATAGGGTTCGTGGCCCTTGGGTCATGGTGCTAGCACACACACACACATCTTGGTTCAGTGTGACTGGAAATTGTATGCAGCAGGGGGATCTCAAAAAAGTGGAGTTGTGAGGATGGAGCTCACGGCTCATGGGGGTGTCGGGGATCGAATTCATGGCCTCAGGTTTGAGAGGCAGATATATGTGGAGGCACTGAGCCAGCCCCATGGGTTCTGAGGTCAGTGAAATAGAAAGTTTGGTACTTTCCTTTTTTTTTTTTTTAAATAATTGTAGTGGGCCAATTTTATGTCAAATCCGTTACTATTTTCTTTCATGATGGGATTGAGAAAAAATATATATGAACCGTGGTAAAATTCTCACTAGTTCCTCTCTTTCCCTGTTTCTTTGTACGTGTTTTTGGTAGTGATTTTTGTAGTCCTGTGCAGAGCTCACTTAAAGGCACCTGTCTTTTTTAGGAAGGTTAATTTAAATCAGAGCTTCTTAAATTTTTTTCTACTTATTGGGCTGGAGCGATAGCACAGCGGTAGGGCGTTTGCCTTGCATGCAGCCAACATGGCCGACCCGAGTTCGATTCCTCTGCCCCTCTCGGAGAGCCTGGCAAGCTACAGAGAGTATCGAGCCCGCAGGGCAAAGCCCGGCAAGCTCCCCATGACGTATTCGATATGCCAAACACAGTAACATCAAGTCTCATGATGGAGACGTTACTGGGCCGGCTCAAGCAAAAATCGATGAACAATGGGAGGACTGTGACTGATGATCCCATTTGGCCCAAGAAGTGCAAGATGGCTGGAAATTGCCAGAAACACTTCTGGTTTTAGGCAATTTTTTAATGAATTTTTGGTCATTGAACCTTCAGAAACTTTTTACTGTTGCCCCCACATTTAATGCCCACCCACTTTCGGTTACTTGATCCTATGTGGGATCATGGCATGTAATTTAAGAAGCAACAGGGTTTATGGGGTAGAGAGATAGTACAGCAATTTGGTGAAGTCCTTAACCTTGTATGCAGCCAACCTTGGTTCGAATCTCCAGTTCTGCATATGGTTCCCCAAGCACTGTCAGAGGTCACTCCCGAGCACAGAGCCAGGATTAGCCCCTGAGCACTACCAGCTGTGGCCCCAATGGTCCCTCGCTCCCACAAAAGAAGGCATTTTATTATTTCAAAAATAATATTATAATTTCAAAATTAAAATGAAACTGAGGGTTAGAGTGATACTATAGTAGGTAGGGCACTTGCCTTGCTTGCGACCAACTTGGGTTCTATCCCTGGCACCCCATATTGTTCCCTGAGTATGCCAGGAAGGATCCCAGAGCACTGGGATAGGAGTAAGCCCTGAGCAGAGCCAGCTGTGACTAAAAACTGACATAAACAACAAATACATGTGTGTATGTGTACTTTTTAATAAGTCCCATGTAATCAGCAGTTGTGCCACCCCAGAAAGTATGCAGGCAGGTAAAGCCCTCTGACACCCCCTTAAAGAAGTAAGGGCTCTCTGGACCCTCGCCTAACTTGTTTGTGTGCCTGTGTAATACAGGCCTTGAGTGAGGACACCAGTGACGGGCCAGGGGGCAAATGTCAGGAAATAGAGACAGCACTGCTTATGTCTTCTCCTTGGTTACCACTGGGTTGTCTTTATACACTCCAGGATGTGGGAGTCTCGTGTGGAAATGAGCTTTCTTGGTGACAAAGTAGATTTGGTGACTAAGTGGAGATTCGCTTTTGTCTGCTCACTTCTTGCTTCTTCTATTCATCACTCATTGACGGCTGCTCCAGGTACTGGCCAGAAGGTATCAGTAGAGGCTGGAAGAAGGATTGAGAGGTCAAAGCCAAATGATCTCAGGCTGGGGCATGTGGGAAGACAGAGAATGGTTTGTGGGGAGGCTTTTTGAAATAAAGGCTACTCTGGCGTTTACCACCCATAAACTTGCATTACTCCTTCTTGTAAAGGATTTTTTGTTAGTATCCATATATCTCAAAGGGACAAAGTGGGCTGGAGTGAGTATGGTAGGGGGCACTTACCTTGCAAGTGGCTGGCCGGGGTTCGGTTCCTGCACCCTGAGCCCACCAGGAGAGATTCCTGAGCACAGAGCTGGAATGAGCCTTGAGCTTAGCTGGGCATGGCCCTCAAACAAACCCAAAAGGCAGCCTCTCCATCAGAGGGCCCAGACTCCTGGATTCCTGTTCTGTCTCTGCCATCTGGGTGACCTCAGGTGACACTGAGCTTGTTCATCTGAAAACACTGTGTGATTTCAGCCCAGCTCCTAGACCATAGCTGAGAAGACCAATGTAGCTAGAATGGCACCTGAAACTTAATAAGCATAGATGAGTAAGCCATCAGCCAGTTTTCATGGAATAAAGTTTCCTTGGACCTCCTAGGGCGGGGGAGATGGCTCGAAGGGCTGGAGCGTGTGTCTAACATGCAGAGACCCTTGGGGGTCTCCTCGTCCCTAAGTACTGCTGGGGTTGCTCTGGTGGGCCCAAGAATTGCTGGGCCTGAGCATTGCTGGGCCAAGCATGGCCAAGTGTGGCCCCAGGGCACCTGACCATTGCTTGGGAACGGACATGCCCCCTGACCCCTCCAAAAAAGTTGTACTAGTGATTTGGCAAAGCATAACAAAAATAACATTTTTTGGTTTGTTTTGTTGTTTGGTTTTGGACCACACTCAACACAGCTCAGAGCTTACTCCTGGCTCTGTGCTCAAAAATCACTCTTGGTGGGCTTGGGGGACCATATGTGGTGCTGGGAATCAAACCCAGGTCAACTGTGTGCAAAGCAAGTGCCCTACCTGCTCTACGACCGCTCTGGACCCTCAAAATAACTTGTGATTATATGTAGTCCAGTGTGCTGTGTGGTAGACCCTGGGTTATTTTGGTTCTCAGCGTAAGTAGAAATTAACAGGAGGCTGGTGAGAGATTCAGGCAGTGTCTCTTGCAAACTTGTGCACAAGGGAGATCACACAGAACAGTGCGTCTTATCTGGATCTCCAAAGAGAGCCTGGTTGGGGCTTTAAGCATGCATGCATGGAATTCGAGAACACCCATTCACTCTGATTGTTCCCTGGTCCATTTCGGAAAGCACTGCACCAGCTCCAGGACCTGTGTGTGGCCTACTGTTCTGTACATGCCTAACTGGGATCTGCTGCACCTGGGTCTAAAGATTTGCACACACCCCTCCAGGTGGCAGGTGCCCAGGGGAGATCATTGCACAAGGACTGCCAGCCCAGGAAGGCCATACACCAGACAGAGTACTCGGAATGAGTTAGCTCCCCACCACCTTGCTGGAGAAGGGCTGCAGCGAACAAGGCCCGATTGTCTTGCCCTGAAGAATTTTTAGACTGAGTGATATTTGAGGTGCCATATTTTAGGAAAGTTGTTGAACTGGCTCTGAGGAATTTATAGGTTGGGGTTCTTGGGGGTGAGAGACTAGCTGAATTCTTTTTCTTTTAGGGGGCAGTTGGGCAGGGGTCCTAAGGCATGCTTCTAGCAATACACCACCAAGTGGGCCAGGAGACTTGATATTGGGTCTTGAGGATGTGGTGTTTGGAGGTGTACAGGGTGCATGGGCACCTTTCATGTGATTCTTCTTCTTCTTCCTAGACATTCTTAAGTAAGTGAATTTATTTGCTGACTTGGGGTTTCTTCTTCAACAGTAGTTCTCAGCTTCTGACCCCATGTTTTCTTACCCCATGTAAATGCCCATGTCTCCTCTGGCAAACACAGTTGATGCTTAGTCCAACTGTTCAGAAGAGGCACCAATCCAGAGAATTACTCCACTGAGCAGATGTGACACACAGACCAGAGAAACGGTGACCTGCATTAATATGCTCCTAGAGTATCTCGTTCTCTGCTGAGAAACAGTGCCAGGGAAAGAAACATAAACAACGGTTTAGAAAGCTAGAATTGTGTCCAGTTTGGGTCACCATTTCTTTCCAATCTGCCTGACTGGGGCATACAGATTCCAGATTTCTCTTATATAAAG